GGGGCGGGGCTCGCGCACACGTCCACACCAGCGGGGACAGGCCCTCTGCCCTCGGGAGGAGGCTGAGCGCCCAGGAACGAACTGGGGGGACACGGAGTGAAGTCGCGACCCACCCGGGAAGCGTCAGGGCCGGGCCCAGGGTGGCATCCAGCTCTGCGGGCCAGGGGGCCCCTCAGCAACCACCCCCTCTAATTATTAGAATCCCGCGTTCACCTCAAATTTGCTTCCTGCCGTTACCAGGAGAAACCTGGCCCGGCCATGGCCGTCAGAGGCCCTCCTGCTGCGACACTGGAATCGGCTTCCCTTGAGGGGCGCAGAGGCCGCCGGGGAGGAGCGGTCGCCAGGGCCGCGGGTTCGGGGCACGCTGGGCCCCGTGACTGGGGCGGGAGGCCGCCCAGCGGCCAGCAGGCGCCTGCACATCCTGCTGGATGGGAACGGGAGCCACCCGCTCCCCTCCCCACAGGCGCCTGCCGCCCACACCCCACCAGCGGGAGCCGCGGGGCACCCCAGTGCGGGCCCTGAGCCCTGACTGCCCCAAGACAGCCCACAGGGCGCCTTCTGCCCGCCAGCGGCTGCCTGGCTCTGGTCCCTGCCAGGGACACCCCTCCACCCCCGCAGAAGACAAAGCAGGAGGGTCGGCTTCGGGCCCTCGGTGCCCGGTCCGCACACCCCAGGGCCCTTCCCGCGCCCGCCCTGCCCACAAAGGGCCAGAGAGTGGTCAGGGCCCGGCGAGGCTCACCTGGGGAAGGCGTCGAAGCAGTAGGTCTTCCGGGTGTCCGGGAAGGCCACGCGCAGGCCTGACGTCAGCGGCGAGTGCAGGATGACCGCGGCGCACTCGTAGCGCGAGGCCAGGTCCACGGTGGGCACCGTGCCGATGCTCTGGCCGTACAGGATGATGTTCTCGGGGCTCACGCCGTACCTGCAACCGCGCACGTCAGGGGCCACGCCCCTGCGCCCCAGACCACGCCCCTGCGCCCCAGACCACGCCATGTCACGCCACGCCCGTCCCACCCCAGGAGCTGCAGGACCCGGATTGGGGGTGCCTACCCCCCCAACCTGCTCAACAGGCCCACAGGGCCGCTTCTGCCCTGAGGGTGTTGGGGGGCCGCCTCCATACCGAGGCCAGAACCCCGAGAAATCCGCAGTCGGGCTTTTTCTTGCCCAGCTCCAGAGCCTTCGTGTCGCTCTTTCTCCCTTTCAAAAGCTTAACAAATTCGGGGGGGCGGGAAGGGACAGGGCGGCTGCTCACTCCCACAACCTTTACAGAGAAGAGGACAGAGCCCAGGGCCAGGCCCGCACTGGAGACGGGCGGGGCCAGCGGAGCAGCTCGGGGTGAGGCGGCTGCCCCCTCCGGTTCTCTGGGGGTGACGGCCACATGCGGCTCATCCCTCCTGCACGCGCGGTGAGCAGGCGGGGTCACTGCAGAGAGGGCCGGGGGGCCGAGAGCGCCCGGGGATGGACGGGGCGGACGGCGGCACGGCCAGGGGACCTCGCTGGCCACGCGCCCTGGGCCTCGCAAGGGCCAGACAGCGACTGCCGCCAGCCCCTCGTGGGCGAGAGGGAGAAGGGGACCCCTGGACGGCAAGGACGCCGACCCGCCTCCCGGCCGCCAACAGGGTCCACTGCAAAGTGAGACCTGCGACAGGAGAGCAAGTCAGAAGGGCGCGGACATTTCCTCGGTCACTCTCCAGACCCCCAAGGTGTGGAAACGGACCGGTGACTGGGGGGCGCCCACTGCTCACCCAGGCCCCCGGCTGGCCCCAGGACTCGAGGCGTCCAGGACACTCCACCCCACGCAGGCCCAGCCGCTGTGCTCTGGGTCCCTGCGGGGAGGAAGGGCCGGCACAAAGGGGAGCCACGCCGTGGCCAGCGGGGTGTTACCGGGTCCCAGCGGCCCCAGCCGGACCCAGGAGCAGTGTTCTGGGCCCTCATCGCCCCTCGGGGGCCGCGATGCAGCCGCGCACTTCCCGGGCCAGGAGCGGGCCAATCAGATGCGAGCTATGAGCGGCCCGGGCTAAATGGCCCAATCAGATGTTGGTTGTCCTCGGAGCAAGCCACTTCCGGGTTGGAGCCGACCAATCAGGGGCTACGGCCATGGGCCGCCGGTCCAATCAGCGCGGGGCTGAAGACTGGACCCTCACGTTTGTGGGCGGCACCGCGAGAGCAGGACAGTGGGAGCCGGCGGCGCGGAGAGGGGGCTAACGCCCCCCACTGCAGGACAGGCCGCGGGTCCAGGCTCCGAGAGGCGCCGGTGCCGGGCGTCGGCACAGGCCGCTCGAAGGCCCGCCGGCCCCGGAGCCCCGCCTGGCCCGGCGTCGCCCCTCTGCTCCCAGCGCTGTGGGCCTGAGAGTCCGAACACACCTCTGAGGGCCAGCTGACCGCCGCACGGCCAGGACCGCGGGGGGCCGTGACGCCGAGGACCGCGTGGGGGACCTGCAGGGAGGGATGTGTGGAGGTTCGGCGAGCCCCGCCCCCGCCGGTCAGGACCCTCCCGGCCTCGCCCCTGCTGGGACCCAGGCTGGCCGCTGTCTCCTTTCTAGAAGGACCGCGTGGCGGTGGCCTGCGGTCAGCTGTCCACGGCACACTCATCACTGTCCCCATCTCGCAGGCCACCCAGGGTCCGGTGGCCCTTGAGCAGCTGCCCATACGTCCCCTGGAGGCCCGGGAGTCACAGCCAGCACCGAGGCCAACGGGCCGGTCCCCAGGTCCCGCCCCGCAGGATCCCCCATTGTGGGCACCTGCCAGAGCGGCCATGGAGCCAGGACACGTCCCAAGGACACGGCCAGGCCGTGCAGCCCCGG